TCAAAGGGTTTTAGGGGCCGACCCAGTTTTGCAGTTGGATGCAGGTTTGGGGCTTAGGGTGGATTTAGGGCTGGTTAAGTTTTAAGCTTTAGGGTTGAAGCTTTAAGGCTAGTGTCTAGGGATTATGATTTAGGTCTTAGGGTTCAGGCGGGGGAGTGGAATTTCGGTCGTAGCGTCTTGGGATTTCTCAGGCCGAGGCAGCTAGGGGCCTCCCGAAGAGCTCAAGTTCTGGCAGGGGGTCCTACAGTCAGCTGAGGTTTTGCTTCAATTCCAACTGGCGGATTTGCTCGGCAGGAGTATTATGAGGATGACGTCACTCTCCAGCTCGTGAGCGCAATCAGCAAAGTGACCAACCTAGACGTCAGCACGGTTCTGCATGTATTTGGCGAGTTCTTCATTGTGTGGCTGATGGAGAACGGGTATGCCAGCATGCTCAGAAACCAAGGTTCAAACATGCTCGAGTTCATGTCAGCCATGAATGATTTGCACAAGGGGCTGAAAAAAGGCTTGCCCCATCTTGTGCCTCCTCGGATGATATGTACCAAGGATGCGGATGAAGCGCTGTCCCTTGAGTATGTGTCCTACAGGAGTGGCTTGGCACCAATGATGAGCGGGCTGGTCACACAAGTTGGGCGGTCACTTTTCCACAGCGACTACATGTGCACCATGGAGACCCAATGGAAGTCTCAGGACGAGAATGGAAAGCCACTGGAGCACACCCGCTTTAGGATCAGCCGGATCAGTGGTCTGGCGCTGGATCAAGCTCCTGACCCTGATGAGGTTGATGAGGGACTCTCCGCCATTTGCATGGAATATCAGCAGTTGAAACGCAGAGGCCACGATTTCCTGCAGAGGAACGCCTGCATGGCTAGCGCGTGGTCCTACATCCTAGTGGAACGCGTAAAGTGTTTGCAGGACATGGCCTATGTTCACCGCTTTGGGCGCATCTTCTGCTTCGAGCAGTTCAAATCGGTCTTGGGCTCCTACACACCTGAGGCCCGCGGTTTAGGGTTTAGGGTTTAGGGTTTAGGGCCTGAGGCCGCAGTGGCGCTCTCTGGGCTTTTTCGGCCACCGCTTGCTGACCCTACGAAATGCACGCCAATGCCAAGGCATGCTTACATCCAGGGGCCAGGAGGAACAGATGGCCTCGTCACAAGGAGCTACGAGACGGTCGTCATGAACCCAAATGTGTTTTTGGGCAGCTGTTAAGGATCTTAAACCCCAATATACTATAGTAGTTTCCATTTTCTTTTGCATTATCCCAATATAAACCCCAATATACTATAGTAGTTTCCATTTTCTTTTCCATTATCCCAATATAAACCCCAAGATACTATAGTAGTTTCCATTTTCCTAGGCAACTATTCATCCTTAGGGCCTTTACGGCTGATGTGTTTGTGGATTTGGGGGATTACGGATTGTGATGTTTTCTTTCCTTTTTCCTTAGGCCCTTCAAGGAGTATGCCGTTAAAAAATAAGTACTCAATTCCCTGATTTGCTAGGTGCAGAGTCTGAGGTGCTTTTGTACCCTGAAACCTAAACCCTTAATGGTTACCCTGTAGACTTTGATCTCGAGGCCCTTGGTTCACATGCTACAAGGCGGGTTGCCCTGAAACATCATACCCTAAGGGTCCAAGTACCCAATACTTAGCTACTTGAGATTTTGGGTAGTTGTACTTGTAGTACAGGTTTTGGGCAAAGTTTTTGGGTACTTGGACCCTTGGGGGATGGTGGTCGCCACAGAAAAGAGCACACATCTTTAAACATTAGGCTCAATGCTCATACCTGTAAGGATTTCGGCTTGGCAGCGGTTTACAGAATCCAAGGGGCCTCTGATTACGGATTGGAACACATAAGCCCCTTAACAAGGATTGCGCAGATTGTGGATAAAGACTGTCTCGCATTTTCATGAACCACCCAGCTCAGAGTACTTGTAACTTGGCATAAGAAGGCAACCACGCAGTATTGCCTGTATATGAAAAGATAACAACCCCGGCCCGCCATATTCTTGTAACTTAGCTATCCTAAACCCTAAATCCTAGACTCTGGAGATTTCAGTTCGTGTGCACGCACAGGTCGCCTGGCGATTTCTGTGCGTTTCAATGTCTTTTCACGGTTTGTCGCCTTCCCCGCTGACCCGAGCTAGCACGGCAACCATGACCATACCATACTCACGGTCGTCCATGCCCAAACCAGAATAATGTTCGTGTTCCAAGAGCATGCAGTGACCGGTGCATCCATGACAAAACCAGAATAACGTTCGCGTTCCAAGAGCACACGGTTGCCAGCGCATCCATACCCAAACCATAGTGGCGTCCGTCTTCCAAGAGCATACGGTTACCAGCGCATCCACGCCCAACCCATCAGAACGTTCGTGTTCCAAGGGCATACGTTTACAAGTGCATCCATGCCCAAACCAGAAAAGCGTTCGTGTTCCAAGAGCATATGGCTACCGGTGCATCCATGCCCAAACCAGATTGGCGTTCGTGTTCCAAGAGCATACGGTGACCGGTGCGGGTTCCAAGGGTATTTCGACGACCTGTGCATCCATGCCCGCCACCCATAATAACGTCTGTGTTCCGGGCGTACGGTTACCGGGACCGGTGCAGCCATGCCCAAACCAGAATAACGTTCGTGTTCCAAGAGCAAACGGTTGGCAGTGCATCCATGCCCAAACCATAATGGCATCCATATTCCAAGAGCATACGTTTACCAGTGCATCCATGCCACACCATGATAACTTTCGTGTTCCGAGAGCATTGGATGGCCAGTCCCCCTCCGCCCAAGCCAAGGGTTTGTGCGCGTTGATGATTGCGGCGTTTTTTGTAGGAGTTTATCTAATTCAGGAGGTTGCCTCGGTGTTCCTTTCAGAATTTGCGTAATGTGAGACGCGGTGTACTTCGCACTGGAGTCATGCTGGAGGAGGAAATTCTCACCGCAGCCGCTGGGCAGAGGTCGTGGCACGCAAACGTCTAGACGAACTGATCTAGCTGTGTGTGTGCGATGTCCTGGCACAAGTTTGGAGTACTTTTCGTCGCACAAAACGCGGATGATCCTGAGAAAACGAGCTATTTTTCAGGGTTTCTCTCTTCCCCATTTTGCGGCTGAAGTCGCGCTGAACCTCAGATTCATGTACCTGTAAGTCCTCTGAAACATGCAGGCGCCTCATGTTTACGTGACCTAGTGACCCCGATCCCTTCAAGAAGGACTTGCAAATTATCATATGGTTGTAAAGGCTGCAAATTTTGGTGGTCGGGGTATTGAAATCCTGTGATTGCCTCCATCACGCCCCTAGATCTATATGACCCTAGTTTGCAGTTCATTTTCGGGTTTCTTGCTCACTGCATTACTGGGCATAATAACCCTAAACCCTATATATACCCCTCAATAGCCTTATTGTATCTTACTATAAACCTCGAACTTCAGCCCAGGTTCTGCGAGGATGAGCCCTTGGTGCGCCTGTCTGCCGGAAAGCGTTACCGACAGGACGGGTTTTAGGGTCAACGCGCTAAGTTGCAGAGCAAGGTTTAGGCTTTACTTGTTTAGGGTTTAGCGCTTGGGTCTGCTGTTTTGGGGGGGTGGTTAGGTTCTGAGTGTGGTACGCCGTGGCGGTGTGTATCTAATTTTTGAGGGTTCTGTCATCAAAGTTTTATGTTGCAGTTCACCGTTATCCTAGCTAAGTTAGCAACAATTCCCCCTAGCACAACTAATGTGGCATAGTAGAGTTTCGAAGTAGACTTTCGATGAATGCTGTTAAGTATATCGAGTGAGTCCTCGCCAATATGACCAGTTCAACTCGTATAGGTTGTCGTATCCATATTGGTGTTGGCAAGATTAATACGGGTATGTGTAGATAAACACACCAAGATCGGCATAGTCTGTGAGAATATTTTCATGTAAACTTAGAGAACTTCAGGCTCAGAGAAGCATTCAGGCAAGGGGTCGTGTAGGAGTTCCCTTGCGACATATGGCATCTGTAACAAAAATCTTTATATATTTGCAGTTGTTGTGGAAGCCCCCTTGCATAGCCAAATCCAATAAGTTGTGAAAATCCTACCTGCAATACCACAAATTTCTATGGGACGCATCCATACCCTTCATATGATTCATATACGTTCTTTCGCGGAATGTACCATATGGCAACGATATCCCTATACTTGATGCTATGTTGAAGACGCCTTGGATAACCAACTCCCATAAACATGACAAGTCTTGAATGCTGTGCCACAAGTGTCAACTGAACCCGGCCGTACCCGGTCCAGCTTTTTTGGCGGGAACGCCATGCTGCATGCACATTACTTGCCATGAAAATGTGATCCTGCAGCTCTCCAAAATTTAATCCTAGTAATTATATCCACTTTCGTGGGACAGGCTTAGTCTGGTGCAGAAACAAACCAAATAAATTGAAATCAGGAAAGGGAGAGGCCTTTGCCAGGGTATTGATGCATCCTGTGAATCTTGTTCCCGGAGCCCGGTTACATGTGCATTTGTTGGTACCAATGGCCTAGAGAATATGGATATCAGAACCTCTAACCAAGAGTTATACTGGTCCTAGTGGAGGGGCCTGATTCAACATACTTCTTGATGTTAATTTGCATACCTACATATGTGTATAAATATATATATATATAATGGTTCCCCCTCCCATCCCCTCCCCAGGTCAATCAACCCTGAAAGATCTTCGGTCCAGCTGACCGTGTTGTACCCACATGATAGTTTACCAAAAGCAGCTGAAAACACGGCAAATTACAGTGTCTTAAGCCTTTTCACAGTTTGGATTATGAAGCTGCATGCCTCATTCAACATTGCACTAGATGACTCATACCAATATGTTAATGCATCTAGGGATTATAGCCTAATACATTGTCTACTAATATTTGCTGTATTAGGTGTGTTGGGAGAGGCCTCCCCAAAAAATATTTACATCTGATAAGGTTTCTCTGAATGTAGCGAAAGGAACTGATATCATTCATTTTGTGCTTGACCCAAGCAGTCTGACTACATGGCATACAAGTGGATGCACATCCTGTATTCCTCCTAAGAACGATGTTGAAGTAATGACTGTGCCATGCTACCGGGCTACTACTTGTCATGTTTCATAGGTCATAGTATATCTGGTTCGAATTCTGCTACCATCTCTGTGACCCCGTTGTTTCAAATAAAGAGAATTTTGTAATGGTCTGGTTTTGGCATTTATCTAAGATATTTCGACATGCCTATACCTGTTGTGCACGCGTGTCTTGAAGCAACAAATCTATTTTCGGGAAGGGTAGGAACCACTGAAAATAATAGTGTACAAGGAGGCCGGCGAATGGTATTACTCACTGTGACAGCTACGCATATCTACACCATTCTGCGCCCATAATGAAATTTCATGCGGAAGGACAAGAACATTGAAAAGAGCTTGGGTAAGGGTCAAGGGGAGATTGGAGGGAGATCTCTCCATATCTTTCCTGGAGATTTGGAGATTCTGGGGAAGCTTTAGGATGGTTGGCTTTGGGGAAGCTATGACAGTGAGCAGACCAAGACCTGGAAAAAAAAAGGGGTGAGGAGAAAAGAAAATTACTAAAGACACAGATTTTTTAAAAAATCGCCACCCACCAACACCCCCCCCCCCCCACCCAGGTCTTAGTCAGTCTCACAGATTTCCCGAAGCCATCCTAGAGGTTCCCCAGCGTCTCCCAAAGTCCAAGAGAGATCTTCCTAGATGATGCTTACTGAGATCTTAGAAAAAATTAGAGGATCGGAAAACCCCACATGAGTAGGTTAACCCGAATGTATGTGAGATGATATTAGGATACTGTGCTGGGGTTTAGTGCCATGTTTGTAGTTGTTCAGTGTGTAGGTGTTAACTTGTTTCACCATAGCCCTTTCGGCTTACCAGCAGGGCACAAAAGAGCCTAAAAGTCCGCTGCATGGTAGCGGAACGCTGGAGAAGAGGCAGTCTGGCCTCAACCAGTGCCAGGCGAGTGCGACGCCGTACGCTCGGGCGTGAAGCGCCCTGCGCGCTGCTTGTCGGCCCACCACCCCCAAATACTATAATCCTTATTATGGGGACCCCCAAAATGGTAGCCCCCATTTTACCAGTTTTGCAAGCTCACAAAAGAGATTCTAGTAGCCCCAGCACTTTTCGAGCTGGAGCAGCGTAAGGATTTGCCACGAACTTCCAGGTCGCGCCTATGGCCGCATGACAGCGTGCATTTTCATGTTCAGCACATTCCGCTTTCAAAGGACGCCGAATGGTCCGAAAAAATGCAAATGCCATAGATTGGCGTTGCTGCGCGCAAGGATTGTGATTTGTGTCCACGCACAATGGATACCTAAGGCTGCTCAGCCATTTTTAAAGTTTGGTTTGGCAACGCGTCTCCTACAGCCAACGACCCGCGGGCAGCCCGCAGGCCATGAAAGACCTATTGCTTGCTTTCAACGCAAAAAAAAAAAAAAAAAACAATTGCTTGCTTTCAACGCACAAGCTGCTACCAGTCGAAGCCCGTATAATTTTGGTATTGCGAAAGTTTCATACGCAAGCTGGTTGTCCACATTGGAGCCATTCTCGTCTTCAACCCCACCCATGTGAGGTCACCATGCACTCTGGTGGCCACGCTTGACACTTCTGGTGATTGCGGTGTGGAATAGCTTGGAACACGCAATGCCAATGCTGCATCAGCAACGAGAGGCTGGAGTTCAATTTTTGCCAAGTAGATGCGCAAACATGGTAAATCCAGGGTGGAACGTGTCGGAAGTTCTACGCCATTTTTACAGCAGCTTTGCAGCAAGGAGTTCGCGGAAAGCGACCAACGACAGGGAAAGGGTAGTCAGGAAACTTGCATCATCTTCATGCTCCTCAGGTTCGGAGCAATCTGGATTGTGAGAAGAAGGTCTCTGTCAGGCACGCTCACTGGGATTAGGAGCAAGGTCTGCCAAGGATCGTGGTCCGGTAAATCTCACACATCATGCCATTGAGCATAGAATATTCATTTTTTGAAGTGAGGCCGCCTTGCTCTGTGCTCCGCTTCAGAAGCCTCATGGTAAGTCTTCTGATTAGGTAGAGGCTCCAGCTCTTGCAACCTTTTGTGGGAGGTGATACGTCAGTGCTAGGTGCCTTCTGAGGCCATCTTGCCTTTCGGGCCTGGCACTACGATGTTTGCTTCCGGCTTTGGAGCCGGGCCCCATCATTGCCAGCCAGAACAGTTTTGGCATCGCATCGGTGGTACCATGTGAAGTAGTCCCGCCGGCAGAGTGTTCTGCGGCTGGAGTTATGTTTTTTTTGCCGCTGACTGTTGAGAAGGGCGCTGCCAGGAGGATTCCGGATGCGTACAACTACTGCTGCTGTTGTCCAGCTGAGCGCGGGGCGCAGTGTGCCATGTCAAGAGCCCCAGATTCCAACATCAGACGCTAAGGGTGCCTTGATGGCTCCACAACTTTTCAGGGAATCATGCAGCTTGCTTGGTGCATGACCGTGAAGTTGACTGACTCAGTATAGCCAGTAGGTGTAGTCAGGGTAGTCATGGCGGCATATATGCCATCGGGGACAAAGTCGGGGGATGTCGTCATGACGAACTTGTTGCTGGCACCAAGTCGAGGGGCCATTGTGCCCGGCAGCGCTGGTCTGATGCATGGATGGGAGTTAGTGCTGGGTACAATCGTGCAGGGTAGATTCGGCGGTACAGACAGGTTGGGAACTCTCCAATTTTTTTGTGCAAAGTCAAACCCGTCATGTAAAAACGCCGTCGGCCTGGGTTGCACTTCCAACCTTTTCTGCCAAATCAAAGTTGACAATGACGTTGTGCCAGGAGTTTCTGGGGGACGCCGTGGAAACTTCGGGCCGGGAGGCCCTGGCGTAGGGGAAGCCTTGGGAGGTCCTGGGAGGGGATGTGAGGAGGCCCAGAACAATTGATTCCAATGGTCCAGAAAAATCACATCGTGCACCAGAGCAAACATGGCTGAGGGCTCCTACTGCGAAGCTACGCAGCTACGCTGTGAAGGTCCGGGCATGGTTATTTCCTTCTGGCACATTCCAGAGTAGTGATGACCGCTGGCGTGTACAGGTCAACGAGGCTTTACCTTCATCTCTCCGCGACCCGCTCTTTCTATGCGCTCGGGCTGTGAGCCCTCGGCCAGCGTTCGGTGTGTGTCGCTTGAGGGCAGCGGCCCATCACTTAGTTTACATTTGAGAGTTTACGCTCTAGGGTTTCAGGTTTGGTTTCAGGGTCTAGACTCGACCCTCGTGCAACCCGTAATGGGGACAACCATATTTCCTCTAACATCCCAAAGTGGTAGTTTTGAAGCATGAAGAGCATTGCAGAGAGATCCCAAAATACGTAATCTTCAGTATTGGAACATCCATACATCCCAGGTTCATCTTGCGAATTCACAAGGCCCCATTACACATTAGCCTTAAACCTTCAACCCCAAACCCATTTCGGGCAACCCGCACCCAGATAGAGACCCCCCAAAGATCCAAAAACTGGGACCCCGCAATAATCTCCTAGCTTCCCCAATGCAGTGCTGGCATCCTCTTTATGGGGTTAAATGCTTTAGGGTCTGGGCAGGTGCCCATTGAGCTGCTTGTATGCGCCATTCCCGATCCCCTGCGTGGCGGTGAGATGTTAAGGGCATTGGCCGACACGCCCAATGACGACGTCCTTGAGACTGTAGCGGCGCAGGCCTTGCTTGACGCGGCGTGGAGGCTAGTACAACAGCGCAAGATTTTTGACATCACATGCGAGGTGGTGAACGTGTTCTTCACCTGCAGCTGGATTTTCTGGCGTGATCATAGCGGCCTGTGGCCGTGCTTGGTGTTCTGTTTCATGAAGGAAGTGGCCGAAAAAAGCATTGAGTTCACGCGTGCTTGCAAGAAAGGCTGGGCGGTACCACCGCTTTTGTTACTTGGCACCCTGTTGAATGTTACGCTGTATGTTTTGCTGATCTACCAAGCGCTGGAATACGAGGATTACCCACACGAGCGATTGGGACAGATACCGATTGCCATCTGGGGTTGTATGCGATGGTGGTCCTTGCTTGGACATCTCAGAGGTTTCAAAGCAATCGGCCCCAGGATCTTGCCAATTTTGTTTGCCCTCGGAAGCATGGGGCCATTCTTCATGGTCTCCTTCATCATCATGCTAGGCTTTCTCTCGTCTTTTTATGCGTTGGCAGATACGGACGCAGACGCCCAACGCGTTCGAGGCATCTACCTGCTCGCCATGCTTGGGGACACGGGATTCTTAGGCCGCGACGCTTGCCGTTTTGGTACGACATGGAGGATGAGAAAATTAAGATTACTATATCTCACCATACCATTTCGGGTTTAAGGGTTTGAGGTTAAGAGTTTAGGGGTCACTGTGGCTAGTAGGGGATGGAGGCTTTGATCCAGCCAGTAGTCCCTGGGCTTCTTAAAGTAGTCAGTAGAACCAATTCCTTAATCCGCCAAACTTCTCCGCGTTCCCAAGTATCCACCGACAAGGAAGCTGGTGAATGGTTCTTGGATTTCTGGGTCTTCGTTTTTGTGATCGTGATGTGTGTGGTGTTTCTCAACCTTCTGATTGGCATCCTCGGTGAGGCCCTGCACGCAATAAGGGCTTCAGGTTTGGGGTTACAAGTTTAGGGCCTGCCCCAAAACAGCCGCAAAAAAAAAAAAGGTTGCGTGTTGCGGATTTAAAGCTAGCACTTCCTGGCTACACAGCTGCCCATCACAGGCCTACGACATGCATAGGGACAAGGCAGAAGTGATCTTTGGGAGGGAGCGAGCGCGTGTGGCTCGTAGCATCTTCCTGCGCCTTTGGCCGGTGGATTGGCCAGAGAGCCCTGGGACTTTGCGCGCTTTCTTCTTGTCCCTGTTCACGCAGAACACAAGCGGCCGCCACAAGAGTTACTTGTGGGTAGCTGTTCCGCAAGATCATGGCCTGAATGTCGCGCGGCTCACTGAAATGAAGGAGCATGTGTCCCAAGAATGCGATCGCATAGGCGATCGTGTAGTGCAGGCATTACATGACATGAAGCAGCAGCTGGCTTACAAAGAGTCCGCGACAGCCCGATGCCCCTTTTCTGGCGCACCTCTCCCACGTGCCTGGTAGCTAGCGAGTTCATGGGCCGATGTCTCAGGTTCCACAACGTTGCATGTTTGGGCGAGGGATCAAATTAGACTGCAGTAAGTGTATTTGGGGACCCCTGTTTGTGGAAACCCTGAATACTTACCCTCAATCAGGAATAACTGCAGCGTCTGTTGGGTGATTCCCACTTACAGTAGCAGTCACCACAAGAAGTAAGAGATAATACATCCACTGAAAGATGGTCACAGTGAGGAGCAAGGGCATTTACATTTTCCACAAGTGCCTGGTCAGCTGTCTTGACCTTGGTACTGGGAACCCGCCCTCTTAGGGTTCTTTTGAAAGTTTTCAGCCGGCACATCAAAGCCGTCAGGGTAATCACCATCTTAGCAGGAACCTACTTTTGATTTTTTAAGTGTTTCCTAGATAGAGTTGGTCCTTGTAGTTAGGAAGTTTGCAAGTGATTGCAAGTGGTTATTAAGGTGATAGCCTTGGGGGAATGAGCTTGGGCGCTGCAAAAGGCTGCGCCAGCGTAATTTGATTAGTTTTCCCACCATGTGAATGCAAGGAGGCAGAGTGAGAGGCGCCCCGCAGTTTTTTTGTCAAGTGCTGCGGCTAGCCAAATCAACCGAGCTTAGCTCCGTTATTGAAATTCTGTCGCAAAAGATATGGCTTGGAGGTTCCACGAGGCTGTCTGGGGAAGCCTTTTTGGTTGCCAGTGTCACTTGCACGCACTGCACGGATCGTTCGTGCTAGCTCTTGACCACGCTCTTATTCTGTCAGCAGTCCATCATATGGGAGTTAGCTACTCCTGCTGCTCTGCATTCGTCCACTTCTGCTCCGCTTGCATTGGGTGCTCCAGAGTTTTGCAATTCACCTTACCAGAGCCTTGTCTAGAGTGGGAGCATGTCCATTATACCTAAACCCTAAACCCTGCATGTAGTAGCTTCCAATTTCTTCCTTCTTATCCCCGTATAACCCCATATGACCCCTGCATAATACCTACTCTAAACTACTCTGAAACCCTAGCAGGCAAATCATGACGACCTGACCAGACCCCATTTTGAATGTTGAGTTTATCTCAAGGTGTGGAAGTGTGACAATTTGGCCAACCTAAAAAGCACCCGAAGTCGCTTAATTGTGTCGCGGCACCCAGAAAGCCCGGTGCAACCGGTGCTTCGCAAGAGTGAAGAATCTCAAGCCAAAACGATATTGGCATTCAGTGCCCCATCCCTTTGAGCACCAGTAAGTAGCGTTGACCTCACCCTATACCCTTAAACTCTAAACCCAATGCACTGTAGAGGTGGTCCAGCGCTCACTGGAGCTGGCTAAAGCCAGGCGAAGGGGCTGGATGGTGGTTTCTGGCAATGGGGCTTGGGGTTTAGGAGTTTTGGGATCAGGTTGAGGGTTTCAAGATTCAGGGCCTAGAAAAGCGGACGAGGATCAAGTCTTGATATGGGTTTCGGGCCTGCCTCTTCCCTGTATAGCCTTCTTCGTGGGGTTGCTCTACATTTTTTGAAGGGCAGATCCGAAGACAGGTAGGACACCCGACATGTAGGTCATATTGAACACTAAGGGGATTTTGGTAAGCCCAACCCCCAAAATTAGGACCCTATGACTATCATATGATGGTTATAGGGTCCTAATTTTGGGTGTTGGGGTTACCAAAATCCCCTTATTATTGAAGACTTCGGTGTAGGGTTTGAGCTTGGGTGATGTACGCAAGGACTGGGGGCTACGCCTTGCCCGTGTCATTGAGGTCATGGACTACTATCCCTAGAATGGGGGTTCAGGGCTTAGGGATTTCCAGTCAGAATTTAGGATTAAGGCCTAAGCCCTAGACCCTGCTTAGGGTTTAGGACTTGGGTGTTCCGTCTTTGGGCTAGGAGTTGATTGGGTTAGTGTTAGTGTGCATTTAGGGTTTACGGGTTTTAGATTGATAGCGTCAGCTGACCATCCTTGTTGTAGCCTGAACTCAGCTTGGTGAATACCCGCGTCGCAGCAAAGATATATGAGAGTTGTTCAAAGCCCCTAAATCCCTAAACTGCATCCTCAGGGGCGGCTCGTCCTCGTTCCCATGTACACGTAAAGGACGCCTCGGCTACCCCCAATTTGTGACACTCTTCAAGTAGTTAAAGGGCTTAGGGTTTAGGGCATTCTGGGGTCGATAAACTGTCAAGTCGGGCTTCAGGTTGCGTGCTTAGTTAATCGTGGCGTGGGCGAGCAGTTCAGCTTTTGTTGCTCTTGCAAGGGTCAGCCAGGTTGAGGCCTGTAGCCATGTCATGAACACGGTTCACTGTTAACGGACAGACGCAGTTGTTCTGGTTCTTGCTAACTGCCGCTAAGGGATTGGAGTTATGCGCCAGTCATCTCGTAATCTCTCCTGCGGCGATGGATCCATCTCTAAACCCTATTACGTGAAACGCCATTCGCAACAGAGTTGCCCGGTTGGGATATCTTACGTCATGCAGGCTCCGCTATTGAGGTCTTGGTCGTACAAGTGTTCCTCCAAACTACCACATGGAGAAACCAGAGCGAGTGGAAGACTCCATCAGGACACTTTTTTTCTAGGGCTTAGGATTTAGGGTTTAGGGGTTTTCTTTGCGTTTTAGTTAGAACTAGGGTTTAGGTGGAACACCATTAGGATTTAGGGCTATCACGATGTTGAAGATTTGGTGCTACTTTGGGGTTTAGCATGCAAAGCCCGTACCCACTCTAAACCCTTTGTGTCCCCATATAACCCTAGTCTTGGAGTCTTGCCAGCTCAATCCCGGCTTCCAGCAGGCAGTTCGAAGAAGCGGAGCGCTGCTTAGCGCAGTTGGCAAGCACGGGCCTCGGATGGAGGCAAGACTTGAATGGTAGTATCGGAGGACAGGGTTTAGGCTTCGGGACTTGGTTAAAAGTCCAGGATTTAGGCTCTAGTCTCCTTAGGAATCATTTGTATTTTTCATTATGTTAAAACCCTGAGGAACTTCTAAAAATTCGATTTGCATTATAGCTCTAAGGGGACTACAGTAGGGATTGTCCAGGATTTAGGGCTTATGAATAGGACTCCTCTGGACCAGTATGCACCGGGCCTAAATTGCTCTCAGAAAGGCTTGAGAATGCTCACAGTAGCCCCATGACTGTAGTTGTATAGTCCCCATTAAGTAGATAGAATATGGGGTATATGCGGATCTTATTCTAATAACCCAAAGCCATATTCTATCTACTTAAGCGGGACTATAATTTTCTGCTTGAACCAAAACGAACGGCGTGAGGGGCGTCTTTGGGTGCAGATATGTCTATGGATCACATAAGGCAGCAAAACAAGATCAACCAAAGTAGCAACATCTCTTAGCATTGCCCTCATGCCTATTGTACCCTAAGCCCTACACCCTACACCCTACTGTACGCCACAGTAGTAGTGGTGGCGTTGGCGGTCGTGGAGGGGTCAGCTTTTGGCTCCTAAGCCCCAAACTTAGGGGAACCTTCTTCTGGGACATTGTCAGGGTTAGGGTTCAGGGTTCAGGGTTTTAGGGATTAGGGTTTAGGTTGAATGAAGGTTTCCAGTAAAGCCCACCAAGGAATGCACGGTTATAAGAAGTTGTACTCCAGCACACCCTAACTCCAAAACCCTAAATCCTCAAACTCAGAGAAAACAGAGATTGTCAGGGGCAGGGCGACGCAAGCTAAAACGAGAAACCGCTCCATAGCCAGTCAACACTCTGGTCAGGAACCCTATCAAGTTCCATAAGAACTATAGTCTAAAGTCCTTAAAGGGGATTATATAGGGGACTGCTATAGGGGTTATTAAGGGGGAGTTTAGATTATGGCTCATAAAGTCAGACGACAACCCTAAAGCCTAAACCCTAAATCTTAAACCCTAAACCCTAAATCTTAAACCCTAAACCCTAAACCCTAAATCTTAAACCATAAACCCTAAACCATTTTTTTTGTCGTCACTCCCGGGCTCCTTGTAGAGTTAGGAAGACTTAACAGAATGTGTACTATGGTTTAGGGTTTAGGTCTTAGGGTTAAGGGTTTAGGGTTTAGGTCTTAGGGTTATAAGGGTTAAGGGTTTAGGTCTTAGGGTTTAGGATGCTCGCAACCCCTATACGCCATAGACTGTCATACACTGTCCCGAATTATTTCCGCTGCTTACCGACTTGCAGTCCCAGAATGAGCCTAAAAAGAAAAAGCCGTTTCCGTGTGTTTAGGGTTTAGGGTTTAGGTGCTGTCCATTCCTTACTGATTCCCACTGACTAGTATTTTATTTTGGGATGCATATGGTACCCATTATAGAGTAAGATTATATCCTCCTTTTGGGGTATAGTATCTTCTATACGGAATATAATCTTACTGGGTTTTACCACCAAAAGAAACGCTACTCCACTGACCCTCCGAGCGAGGTGAACACCCAGAGTTCGCGTCATCTCGCGAAATGACAGCGGCTCAGGAGGCGATGTTGGGGTAGGGTTTAGGTTGAGTGTAAGGTTTAGGGTTTAGGGTTTGGGTTTAGTGTAAGGTTTAGGGTTTAGGGTTTTGGTTTAGTGTAAGGTTTAGGGTTTAGGGTTTTGGTTTAGTGTAAGGTTTAGGGTTTAGGGTTGGAGGTTTGGGGTTTAGAAGTTCAGAGTTTAGCTCGCAAGCTTCAGGGTGTAGGGTGTTGGGTGAGTGGGAGAGTGTATCTTGGGACTATCACAGGGAAGTGCATAGGGATCATCAGAGCGGACCATACATAAGTATCCTGCTAAGGACTTGGGAAGATCAGGGAACACATCCTAACATTCATGCTTGGAGGTTTATGTCCTAGGTTTAGGGGTGTTTGAAATTAGGGTTGATTTTTGTTGTCTTATTTCTAGTGCTTGGGGTTTCCGATTCAGGTTTATTTCCATTGACTATATCAGTCCCTAAACCCTAAACCCTAAACCCATCAGACCCTACATTTGGAAAATGCGGCATTATCTTACAGGGAACCAGGATATTGCACGGCAGTTCCCGGTGTGGCTGGGGCAGTCCAGTGTCCAAGGCAAAGTGCTCTTCTAGCG